CTGAAGACGGACACAAAGAGGAGAAAATACTGTAGCAGGCAGAACAAGATCACGGTTCACGATGCACGAAATATAGGAAGAAAATCCAAATATTGAATTTTATATGAATGTGTTTCTGAGGGGAACGGAACTGACTGTTTTCAGAAATGGCGTTTTCTTTTCATTTTGTCTCCGTATGATGCATTTAAATTAGTGTTAATGGTTAATACGCGCAGCGCTGCTGTGTTTACAGCTGTAACCAAGGAAACGCTGTATCACTGTACCATAAGCGCTGTCTGCTGTCAGAGAGTGAATCTGCGTCTCATTCAGCCCACCTGCTGTTTCTGTTTCGTGCAGATGTTTTGTGTAGCATAATTTCACAAAGCTAAAGTCAGATAATTCTGTTTTTGCTTCAGATTTTGAAATTATACAGTCTAATATAAATCAAACATTGCACTTTTTTTCAATTCATGATTAAAATGCAGTGGTTGCCTCTAATTTAAAATGGCTATGAAAAATCAAGGTGCATATGCAAATGTTATTTTATATGTGATTTTTTAATTTCTGTACCCTGAACATCTACAAACATAAAAACTGGCTGTCACTTGTCTTTAATGTTTAAACTTTATATTTATGTTTATTTTTGGCTAGTGATTTTTGCTGTGGTATCGAAATTGAAATGGAGAATTACAAAATTTAATTGGTATCTAAAATATTGGTGTCATATAAGCTTATTTATTAGAATACAAGATAACAGATCAAAAACAATGATTAAAGCAACTATTTTATTTTTTGTGGCAGGGCCAGTGAAAATGTTGGCAGGGCAAGTACAAATTTGAACCACTGGCCCGACTGGGCCAGTAGAAAAAGTCCTTAGCGTTGATCCCTGCTTGCTTAAGAGCATTGGTATATATGCAGGAACAACTTCTGTCTCTATTTTGCATCTGGTATGTCCTATCTTAGCTGAAATGGTAACTTTCCTTGTGGAGTGAACAACTTTGCCATCACCAAATCTGAAAGGTCTTGCACTTTGTTTGTCATCTATTTTCAGTAACTCGCTCTGTGGCAGCCCACTTGTGTAATCCTCAAGCCATTTTTCTCCACACACAGTACAGGCTGTGTCAATCACAGCTGATCCTAAAGCCTCCACCATTAAGATTTCTGTGTTAGACAAAGATTCATTTGAAAACAAAGTGATGTTACATTCTTCAACGTCATCTTTTAGTCCTTCATCTTTTGTCAGTCTTACATGTTCCTTTTTGTTTGGACAGTCCTTTGCCCAAAGTGCTTTGGCAAATTGCACATTTCGTTAATATTTATCAAGGGGGTTTGTGCCTTGAGCCACGGTTTGGGGTTGTTGTGTGGTGTTTGACTTATTTCCCCGTTTGCCTGAGTATCTTGTGTAGTAGGCAGTGTCACTATCTGCGCTCTGCAGTGCACTGCCGCCCTCTCGTGGTGAAGTAACGTTATCTCGTTATTTATTTGTCTATGTGTTGTTTTTAATATGCTTTTAGACAAACCATGAGCCAATCCATTAATCAACACCATTGCTGAGTATTTTCTCCTTAAAACTGTAGTTTCCCAAAGGCAGTCACAGAAACGCGGTTTGAAACAGCCTTTATTTTGCTATGTCACAAAACTCAATAACCAATCGCGTCAAGGGATCCTAACCTTAGCATATCATTAACTGTGCTGCAAAGCAGAGGGTTTAGTGAGAAGGCAGCCAGGTTAATCTGGTAACAGTTATATTTTTTCTGTAGATGTTTCGCCAACTGTTAATATTTTCCCCCTATTTTCACGATGTCATGTGCTGTTTGCGCTTATTTATTTGTATTTAGAACCGCTAACTTGAATAATAACCCGCGGCAGCAGTGTAAAAGTAGCCCAGAGTCAGACGCACCTCTCCCGCATTGACATCCGCACGTCACACGCGTATGATCGTGGGCGCGATTTGGAACAACATGGTCAAGTAAGTAAATTTAACGAATGTTACAATATCCACTGTAGTTGTCCGCTAGTAAAAACAGTTTTATCAGTCATTATCAGTGTACGAACCAGCGCAAACAGATAGTTACCTCACAAAGTTAGCTTCAGTCTCCTTGCATACGTTGAGCATACCAGCTTATTTCTGGTTCAAACACATATGGCTTAATTAAACCAATATTTCCACTTGCCATTGCCATTGTATCGCGTTTACTACAGTTCAGGAGGCGCTGGCTCATGGCTGGCTGCTGTGTGAGTGGAGGCGGGGCTAATTTGCTAATTGCTAATTGTATTCATAGTCCACGTATAGTAAATGAGGCAAGGGTGTAGAGTTGCATTCAAGCTATTTTAAGGCATGAGAAAATTATTTTCACAAGAAAAAAAATTTAAATATATAATTTTTATGATCAAAGATGAGTTTTAAAGGATAGAATTTTTGACTACAGGGGGACTTTAACAATCACACACAAAAGATACATTTACATTTTATTCACAATCATTAATTCATTTACAGTTTCAGAAGCATAGGCATGTTTTCTTTTGAGAAAAAAAAAAATATCCATTAAAAAAAAAAATTGCACTCATGTCTTGCGTACAAAACAATAACTTCGTCCATTAGGATTATGTACTGTCTGTTTTTAACTGACAGAATTTTTAACGTTTTCCACGTTTATATTCAAAAAACGAAGTGGAAGCCCGATTCTGTTAAAAACAGAGCCTGATAGGGAAAAAGCATTGGAGCAGAACAAGTAATTGGCCACGTACACACTGCAAGGAGTGACAACCACATTTAAATGCGGGAGTGACCCCCGTAAATTATCGTTCCATGTGTGTACGGAACACGACTCACTCCCGAAACTGCCATGAATGGCAGCGTGGAAACCATAGCAACGTTGTGGCGTCTCGGAGAGAATGGAGGCCCCCAGATTAGCTAGTTTTGTGTTAGCTGCTGTTGACAAAACAAACATTAGACTGCAAAGACATTCGAAAATCCGCAAAACGTTATTAAATCGCCGTCGTTGGGAGAGGCGTACTAGTTTTGTTCTTTAAACTGTTGTTATTGAACAACCTTGACCGCAACTGCTCGGTCCACAGTACAGCTCTCTCCGCCATCCTGTCAGATCTGAGGTAAACACTTGACGCCTGACAATACACGTACATTGGCGTGCTTCTCGTGACATCATCATTAATAACTAGTTGTTCAGTTCGGTTCCGTACACACTGCATAGAATTTCTGTAAATGCGGTTGTCACTACCTGTATTTGTCAGGAGTTAATGCGGTTGTCACTCCCGTATTTTAGTGAATTATGTGTGTACAGAACGCGATTAAGGAGTAAAAGGTGAACTGACAACCGAATTTAGCTGCAGTGTGTACATGGCCATTGACTCCTGCATATCCTAGAAACGCAGTCCTTAGAAACTGTGGTAGAACATTAAAAATTAATTACCTCAAAGAACTTCTGTATGACATAGTTCCCAAAGACATCGGTCATGAGTTGGTAAGCAGCCTGTAGGATCTCCCCAAACACCATCTGCCTCTCTGCAGGAGTTGCACGCTCCAACTTTTGCTGAATAAATCTGGACATTGAGAAAAGGACCTTACATTAAACACAAAAAAAGCGTTTCTGGGAATTTAAAGGAATATTCAATGTAGAAAGTTCCCAAACTCTTATTATTTTCAGGACATTTTATATGACATTTTATATGATAGTGTTTTGCAATGTTTCCAGAGACGCATTATCTAAAATATAATGTGTCAAAAGCTGTCAAAAATGTCCAAAAAATGATCTGTTATCATGAGAAACATTTACAATACAGTTAATAAGCAGATGTAGGATTAAAAAAAACAGACATCAGACATTGTATAATGTGCAAGACCAATATGCAAAAGGTATTAAAAGTAACGCGATTCTAAAACAATTTCAAAGACAACTAATAATTTTTTAGGTAATCTTCCCCATTTTCCATTACTGGAAAGCTGTATAAAAAAAATCCAGGAAAAGTATAAACTGGGAGGAGTTGGGACCTGGATCCGTGCTGGTCTTGAGAGAATTCCACCATGTGACCAGGCAGGTCTCGCAGCTGCAGGTTGGGAAAGCGATTATTCCGGAAGTCCTCTAATAAGCGGCTACGTCCCGAAGGCATGACATCCGAGCGGCTGTAGCGGGCTCGTGGTGGGGGAAAGAGCTGACTGCTAGAGCTGAAAAGACTGGAGGTACTGCCCGAACTCCTGTATTTGGCTTCTGCTCCTGGTGCAGCCGAAATATAACGGCCACTGCCATTAGTCAGACCACCTGAGAAGAGCAGGAGAGAGAGGAAAACAGGATTTTGAGTTTACAGTTTTCTTCGCTTGTGCCACCCATGGCAGGCATGCCCCACACTTTGAGAACCAATGCAGTAAACAAAACAAACCATACTAAGCTCAGGGGGTTGAAAACATTTTCACACAGCTTTTGAAATGGACAAGAGGCCATTTGACCTCAGTTTGGGTTTGCTGAAAATTGTTTTAATTTAACCAAAACTGTAAACAAACCAAACCTTCAATAGAGAACTGGATTGCTCATAACATCATAAAAGTTAAGCCACTGCGCCACCATATTGGTATTCCGACACATTCAATTGAATTAATAGGAAATCGTACGATTTTAATGAGAAAACATCACTTATCGAGTCAGCATTTTTATATCTGAGGTCTCCCTGTTCATTCTTACAATGCCAACGAATGTAAATGGTTATTTGTTTAATGTCAGGAATTTTCCCTGCCTATTAAAAAGTTACGTTCATATACATTACAGTAGCTTACATTAGATGAACATGACGAACATCGGACAGACGAGATCCTCAACTTATGTATTACAAATGTCTTAGTTTGATATGTTGCTCAATCAGGAAATAAAATTTACATACACTTATCCTAAAAAATAATCCCGTGTGACTGATACACTTCAAATCGGGTGATTTTAGGTCAAGGTTTTAGGCTTTAGGAGCGGCAGAAATAGCGTTTTCCCAGGTAACGGCTATAATCAAAGCAGCGCTCTGCTTATAAATGCTTATTTTTCAGGCATTATAGGAAAGATTAAATGAAAATGACATTGAAACTTTTCTAAAGAAAGTCGGTGCCCTTCAAACATACATTCATATAAAAACACCCGTGCCACGCTTTGACTTTGAAACGTGCAGAGCTCACGTTTATTCAACGAAGTCAAAGCATTTTGGAAAATCGATTTGTGGCGGTCAGTGTTGATATTGTGGCAGGCCGCCTCAAATAAATCAATGTATGGAAAACAATGAGAAGGGAATAGTAAGATGCAGGGGTGCTGCTAAGGGGGGGGAAAGTAAGGACGATTCTAAGGGCCCACGCACTTTTGGGGCCCCTTGAGATCTGTTTTATTAGCAGTAACAGTACTAGTAGTAATGAAATAGAAATTATAAATGTATCTACCAAAGAGTTACAAATAAAACAAAATTACAGCTTATTTCTGCATTTCCGGCAAAATTACCCCCCTCCCCATGCACTGCATGGTTCCGTCCCGTCCTATGTAGCTTAGAGTGAGATCAGATGGTAAACTGTCTTCGAGCTCGACGAAGATGTATAAGTCCAGTAATCAAAAGATCTAAATATTTGTGGACTGGAAACAAATGGAAAATTGACAAACTTGTGCTGCAATTCTATGGATGTTTTGCCCACCAGGTCTTCGAGCCAGTCATGTGACCGAAAACTATGAATTGTAGCCTCTAAATTTGATAATGCTCAACACCATTGGTTCGAAGAGCTGTCAATGCTTTGTAAAGACTTTTTACCATGCCAGTAAAGCTACTGGAATATCAATTTACCAGTTGCTGATTGTGATGCAGATTTTTTCAAATAGGATGCACATCTCGACCACATAATGTCTCTGTTCATTGTATGTAAACACTCAATTATATGTTTTAAAATATTGCCATGGTCACACTTAGCCAATATTTATTCTGATGACTTTAGTGTGACTGATCACGCTGTAACTAGTATGAGTAACAAATGCTTTCTCTGTGTCCAGATTTGATTACAATAATAATAACTGACACTTCAAATCAACATTTAAATTTCAACTTTTACTAAATGTTTTACACCCTGATATTGCAGATGATAAATGGTGCATAATTTTTCGTAAAATGAATATTCAATATAATATTAATATTATTCGTTAATATTTCGTAAAATCCCCTTAAAATAATAAAAATATTAAAGAAAAAAAATATTATTGAGCTAAAATCATAAAAGCACAAATATATATCCGTTCTCATACAGGTGCATCTCAATAAATTAGAATGTCGTGGAAAAGTTCTTTTCCACGACATTCTAATTTATTGAGATGCACCTGTATAACTCTGTCTTTATTCATTTGTATGATCATCTATAAGTGTTTGGGCTGTTTAATATTAGGATTTTGTTTAAAAGTTTGTAAGTGTTTTGTCTTGTTTTCTCATTAGATTTCGTTGTCGTTGCTAGGAAACATTGTTTCACTTACTGTGTTTCAGCACTGGACACAAACAGTGCTACTTACACTCTTTGCTCCACTCTAACATCTTGCTTAGACAACTATAGCCCACTTTCATCCAGACCAGCACGCACTACCCCCTCTGCCCCCTGGCTGACCCATGTTCTCCGTGATGTTTCTTGCACAGAACAACCTCCTGGACAGCAACCAATCTGGCTTCAAAAGCGGCCACTCAACTGAGACTGCCCTGCTCTCGGTTACTGAAGCCCTGAGACTGGCAAGAGCAGCTTCCAAATCCTCAGTACTCATCTTGCTGGATCTGTCTGCTGCTTTTGACACAGTTAACCACCAGATCTTCCTGTCCACCCTCAGAAAGATGGGCATCTCAGGAACCTGCACTCCTGTGGTTCAAATCCTACCTCTCAGGTAGGTCCTTCAGGGTGTCTTGGAGGGGTGAGTTTTCTAAGTCACAACTTCTTGCTACTGGGGTTCCTCAAGGCTCAGTGCTTGGACCACTTCTCTTCTCCATCTACATGTCGTCATTAGGATCTGTCATT